CGGTGTTGACCCAGCTTAACTTTAGAAAACTGCGGGATTTTTACATATTTTTGACTGCCCAGAATTATACTTACCTGTTTTTCCCTGTCCTATACTGGTCTTTACAGTATTCGTCGAGATATTTGCCGAAATGTGACGTTAGGGCTAATTATCATTATTACTAGTTTAGTTACTTGTTTTTTCAAAACTGAGTCTGTTGACGATGGGAAATTATCTTTATCTTTTACGTATAGATTCCACAGGTTGTGTTATTAACATAGGTAAAACCTTTTACTGCGGTATCCGTACTAATTTTATTGAAAATTACTATTCGTAAATTCAAATAGGCTCGTTCTTCTCGCGATTATCTAATTTTTTTCGCTCAATATTTGATATAGATGAAGTACCTGTAAGGAGTTTACTGTCGTTGTGCTTGTCGCAGTTGTGGCTACGTGCTGCTTGACAGATTTTTTGCTTTCTTTTGTGCTGTACAAAAAGACGTACAAAGTAAGGGAAGAATTATCAACTCAGATTCGCGTTCTAGCCAGTAACTCAGCAAGAACTTAAGATTCCAGAAAAATTCAACAATTGTTAGGTAGTTACAAATTACAAACTCCAAAAGAGTTCCAAAACTCCTAGGATAAATCAGTTAAAAACGTCCTAGTTTAGGATTAAGCCAGCGTTCCTCTCAGCAGCCTGCAAGCGACATTACCGTTTCCCTCTGAAATACCCAGGGAGGGACCCATAGCGGGTTCTGCTGTCTCCATAAGATACCTCTACGTTTTTATTCAAAGTTCAGTACAAAAAATATTTTTGTGCCGAAAATATTAAAAATAATAAACGCTAATTCTTTTCTGTCATTCGCTTTTTTTTTTCAAATTGTTTGCTTTTCCCCCATTATGTTTCAACGTTTTTCTATCCTATTGAGGGTCGCATTTTTTGAGTTCCTCATTTAAAACTGTGATGTTTCCGCGAAATGAACAAAGTTATAACAATAAACATGTTAAAAGATGTGGATTCTTAATGAAAACCCTGTCACATTTTCGTTAAAAACTTGGCAAAAAAAAGAGCCAAAAAGAATAGGATTTGGAGGACGAAGAGGTAAAACATTAGTAAACAGTATGTTATTAATCAAACATTATGTAAAAACGTGACATAGAAGTTTAGCACACCTTTACATAAGTCGCTCGGATAACCTTCGAATGCCTCCGTATAACACAGTGGCATTGAGCCAGAACCGTTGGAGTTTCTCCAAAAGAAGGCAGTTTCGCCGGTAAAAACTTTCACACTAAATTAGTAATAAATCCGCCTATATATAGTCCGTTTCATTTTCAATTTGGTGTGAAAATTTTTGCGAGCAGAGAAGCCCTCTTCTGGAGGAATTTCAACAGTTTCGGCTTGACGCCACTGTGTATTAAAAAGGCAGCCGGGCATTATCTGACTTACTTTCATAAAAGCGTCATTAACTTTTGTTTGAGTTGTGTGCATGGTGTATTGTTAATGTCTTTCCGTTTGTAGATGTTCAGCCTTTTTGTATTCCAAATCGCTGTTTGGTCCACTTTCTGCCGAGATATTGCCGGATATGTCGGAGGATTTTTATTTTTAAATGTTACTTTGTGACTTATTAACTGTTGTAATTTTGTTTGTATCCATAAAAATTTCTTATTTTTTTGTTATTGTAAGGGGCAGATATCGTCGATAAGGAATCTTTAAAAAAAAGGGGGGTTTGGAGAGCAATAATGTAGAAAAAACGGTTTTAATGAAATAATTGAAGAAAAGCGATTTTTTAATATATGAAAAAAGCTTACAGAAAGTTGGGGGTAATTTTTGGGGAAGGGAAAGGAAAAAAAGGAAGAAAAAGGAACAGAGTTGTAATACAGGTTTTTTATATTGAAATTCCAATACAGCGATGACCTAACACTAACCAATTTTAAAATAGATACGTAGTCGTTCTCAATTCCAATTTAGTGCGAAGTTTTTTGCTAGCGAAACCTATAAATTATGGCTAAATTCCAGCGGCTTTGGCCCAATGCCACTGTGTAATACGTAGGCATCCGAAAGTGATCCAGATGAACTCTGTAAAAGTGTGCTAAACTTCAAAGGGACTTGTGTAAATGATGTTGCGGCCTTCCTGACTGTTTGTTAAGTCTTATCTGTTTGTGTTTACAGTTTCATGACTTAATTTCCATTTTCGGCCGAGATTTTAGCCAAAAGATAAGAGTAAACTGAATTTATTACACATACGTTTTAACAGTTTTACTGCATTGACTTTGTCAGTTGTCCATGTACCTAAGTTTTTTTTCCTTTGCTGTAATCTACATTCAAATTACTTTAAGAAACTGTAAAAAGGAGGAAAATTAATTTCTAGGGAGTCGAGAAAGGCTGCCACGAAATGGCACGATAGAAAAATGCAGTTGCTTATTAGCTAAGAAAACTTTGAAAATACTAGTAAAAAGTTGCGAACATTGTACTAAAACTGGGAGTAATAATGAGGAAAAAAGTAGTCTATATTCTATGTCTAACTGGTTTATTGCGAAAAATAAATGAAGAAGACTGGAAGGATTGAAGTTTCTACAACGAGAAAGGAAAATAAAATGAATGGAGGAGCCGCAATGTGGTGTTCCCTGGCAGAACTGTATGACCCAGGATGTCGCTTGCCGAACAACTACGATAATGGAAGGTGTTGGGTATCAGAAGACTCCAACAATTGGAGGGTCGTCTGACAACAGAAACTCTGTGACTTCGGCATACTGGTATTTTACGTAGAAGTAACTTATCATTTGAAAAAAAGAAATTTATCGTTGGAAAAAAAAAAAATAATCTAACTACGTAAAAAAAAGGAAGAACTTACAACTTAAAAAAACTATTACTCGAAGAAGAGCTTATCATGTATATAATAAAAATAAGTCTTAATGTTTATTCAGCCGTAGTGGTATATAAAAAAGTAGGTCTCTGTTGAATATAGTGTATTTTTTTCTGTCTTATTTGCAGCTAACGTCCACTTTTTTAAAGCAAATAAGACAGAAAAAAATACACTATATTCAACAGAGACCTACTTTCCAACCTAAATAATTTTAAAAGTTTAGGCAAACAGTTGGTAGAGCCCGAAAACGAAAAAAAAGGCCGTAGGAAGATGGGTAAAACAAGTTTATTTTCATTGCAAAAGTAACAAAAACAGTAAACCAATAAAATGAACCCAAAAACATATTGGCTAATAACTCAGTGAGGGAACTGAATTTCAGCACAATTGAACAAGCAACTTGTTGCCAGACATTTGACAAACAAAATGACCAAAAATTTTTTACAGCTAGGCTGGTAGAGAGGCCGTAATATGAACCTAGACCAACACTTGCTCAATTTGTCAGCCGGCCCTATTACCATAATTCTACTCCCGTCGCGACAAATATTTTCACACCAAAAATGAGCGACGCTACATATGTATACATCAGTCATTCCATGCCAAATCTCACACTTTTCAACCTCAATCTCTCAAATTTCTTCCATTTTTTGTAGAGTCCAGGCCAATATAGAGAAAGCCGAAACCGAAAGAAAAAATCTTGGAAAAGTGAATTCCCCGCCGAGTTACACCTCCTCTCTTCCCAAAGTTGCAAAATTTGCCAAGTTGCCGCCTGACATGCCTATTGTGGAGACGTGTAATTTGGCCTATTATTAACGAGATTCAATCAACGGTTTTTAATCCGATATACTTCTTATGCGTTGAACTTTTAAATGCATATTGAATAATTTAATCCCGGTAAAAACAGACAAAGATACAACAAAAATAAAATTTCAAACAAACAGAGAGAAAAAACGTGTCTTTGAATTTGTTATAAAAGATATATTTTGTGTAAAATTTTTTTTCTGTATAACACATCACAGTTAGCTGAAAAAAACCCACTATTTTTACAGTAATCCTAAGTATACATCATAAAACTGTCCTGCGCCGCTTCTGAAAGCTAAAAACAACTGCTATGAAAATCGGATGTACTTCAAACGTTGAAAATTTGTTACCAAAGTTATACTTTACTTCAATAATATTAACAATTATTCGGAAGAGTTATAGGAGGCAGTCTTCACTCCAGCGCTTTCTACTTCGGGGTTATGCAGAGGAAACTTTGCACCGTAAACAAACAAATATATATCAAATGCTAGTGATTCTTGATATAATTTTGGAAATTATATCTCGTGCATTTCCGTCAATACCAAATACAGTGGGATACAGAAAACCGTGATTAGCACTTCTAAAAACCTTCAAATAAATGCTCTCACAAATCTTTTGAACCCTCATAAATTTTAGTTGAAAATAACCTTATTTTCGCTAAAAAAATTCAAGCTTCCCTATTTTAAGACACTTTTTTAATAAATCGTTGGTTTCGCAGCCGAAGTATAAAACGGCATCATTATCGGTTGAAGCTCTCCTTACGTCACTGTCTTTTCGCATCTCAGAAACACCAGTTTTATACTCTTGATCGACCTTTTACCCGTAGGACAACTACACATGACTGCTTCCACTTAAGTTGTACGTCTCGGTTCAAAAAAATTTGCTTATTGCTCAGAACTGTTACAGATTTGACCTGCTGTTTGACGTAAAACTTTTTAAAACATCTTTTGTAGTGTCTTCCAATCCAAATATTAAACATATTGGTTAGTTACGGGTGCGGAATTATTGCAGCTGCTCAAGTAAACAGACGGCTGCAAATTTTTTTGACGGAAAACATTAGAATCAGTTTGGTTGATTCAGATTTAAGGACTTTTTTAAGCTATTGATTTTACCTATCATGTAAGAAATTTTCCAAAAAATTTCTAGTAATAACCAGACAAATCAAAGCAAGAAATCTTCAACTCTTTTAGCCTGCTAAACAAGCCTTATTTTTTTATAAAGCTTTAATTTAAAAAATTAGGTTGATTTGCCCAGAGCAATATCAATGAATTGTATGAGACTGCCGCAAATGCAAAAGATGATATTAAATCTTTGAAGAACTCCGATATCACTGTTTTATTTTATTACAAATGTCAATATAATTGAAGTGACAAAGGCTTGTTTCCATTTTTTATTTCAACTTGGTCCAGCTCAAATTTGAAAAACAACACGATACAACATCAGTTGGTTACTTAGCGCTTTCAATGCCTTTTTTCAACTTTGTCAGTTCTACCAAATATTTCTCACGTTTCTTTATATATCCGTCAAGATCTTTAAGTGGCATTTGTGCATTTAATGAAGTGGTTAGCACCTCCTGAACAGAGTTATCATCAAACGATGGACTTGGCCCAAAATTATCCGTAACTTCTTTTATACCGCTCATGAAACGATCCATATAATCACGAATGCCTAATCAATGATTAAACTTACAACGCAAGATCAAATAAATTTTACTTAAATAGCTATCAATCACTGGTGTACAGAATTC